AATTGTTGTATCTTCATTTTACTATGTTGCAACTGTCTCTCCCTATCCAGTATTATTTTTGCATTTTTTGGGCTTGTGAAATCCCATTATCAGCTCTGAATGACAGAAACAACTACCAATCAGTCTTATTAAGAGGTTATTATAATAAGTTTTTAAGCTATAGACTGAATGACTGGCTGGCTAACAAGGCCGCTCCATGCTGTGAGGTAGAAGGATCTCAATGATCACCTTTCCTCAATAGTATGGTTGGAGGATAATGTCTCTGGTAGCATCACCTCTCCGAGTTGCGAGGTAGCAGAATCTCAATGATCACCTTTCCTCAGGATCGTGGCTGGAGGAGACATTGATTAGCTAGTTGTCTTCTGAGTAATCGGTAAATTAAATAATAAAGAATCTGTTACTCAGTGACTCGGTGGAGAAGTATATTAGTGGCAAGAGCAGCATAAAATATTATTGTGTGGATTCGGCAAATCTGAACTAATTCAGTTAAAATTTTCTATAGCCACATATTAAGCAAACAGAAAGTTTATTGTTACGTCATTATCTATAGGTGGTACTACTATTAATTTATCATTTGTTTTGTTTTGTTTATTTTATAGCAAGAAATCGAACCCCGGATTTTAGCGTTGGAAATCCGTATATTTACCGGTGTCCCACATTCTAGTTGTTTTTGTTACACGTCTTTATTATAAATACTATCGCCATTATCATTACTTTATTAATATGACGATAATTTTTATGAATCAATGGCCTAAGTTGAAGTGATTATAGATTAAGAAAATTTGTATAATGCTACAATATATATATTTACCAGACCATTATATCATAAGTTCTAAAGTAGACTCGTTGTAGAAAATGCAAGCAAACTCATTTGAAACATTTGAGCGTAGTTATAATGCTCGATTTTCTGTTTTCGATACTTCTCTATTTCACGTTATTGTGGGCCAGACATGGCCAGGTAGTTAGGGCGTTCGACTCACAATCTGAGGGTCGCGGGTTCGAATCCCCGTCTCACCAAATATGCTCGCCCTTTCAGCCGTGGGGGCGTTATAATGTGACGGTCAATCCCACTATTCGTTGGTAAAAGAATAGCCCAAGAGTTGGCGGTGGATGGTGATGACTAGCTACCTACCTTCTAGTCTTACACTGCTAAATTAGGGACGGATAGCGCAGATAGCCCTCGTGTAGCTTTGCGCGAAATTCAAAAAACAAACAAACACGTCGTTGTGATAACGTCTAGACAACTTCTTCCATAAAGTTCTTCTGATTAGTCTTTGAATTTCCTTCCATTCATTATTTTCGGGGAATTTCCCGTCTTCCTGACACATAAAAAGTGGACATGCTCATTTGCTATATCATACCGGTTTGTTTCATTGTAATTATTATATATACAACAACTTTATACGTTTAAAGAGCGGTTTGCCGAAATCGATAGTTTTACTGTATCTTATTATCGGACAGTCAGAGGATCATGTCGACCACTGTATATTAACGGCTGGTAAAATACAAAATGATATGCGCTTTTCGGGATATGTCGAGTGATTTGTAATTTGTTCTCGCCAAAATAAAACTTATTCATAAGTATGATATGCTCTAAAATTTTTTAGTAGAGACGCGTTGAGATTTAAAAGGTTATATTTCGAGTGAATGTTTTTCATAAATTCATGATTATTATGAATAAATAAATAAATAACACCACCAGTGGGAAGATTTCGAAAATATCTCCTGAAAAAATGTAATATCAACTTTTTAAATGTTGTGTCAATGTTATGAAAAGAGCAACCTCGCAAACGTTAAACTTTCCTCTTTGTATTGTTTTTGTAACGTATTTTCTACAACGTTGTGACAAAATCGTTGCTTGCCAAATAATTCCGTGTTGTGAAAACATGGTAACAACGTTGGTCATAAAATTACCACCATACGACGTTGCTAGGTGCGCTTTCCAACCCGAAAGATTTTCGCGTCTACTAATACTCTACATTATATACCATTAAAAAAAAGCAAGATCACAAAGATGGCACTAAAGGTGTTATGCTTAAGTTCATATATGTGTGTTTGTGTGTACAATGTAAGTATAACTTATAATTAGTTCTATAAGTCCCCTGTATGTCAGTGGTAACTTTACGGACTTAAAACGCTAGAATCTGGGATTTATTTTATTTCCCCGCGGTGGACAGCAGATAGCCTATTGTGTAGTGATATTAATATCTTTAAAGTACTTACGTCGTTATGTTTTACGTGAAGAGAAGGTGCAACTGATATTATATTGGCACGTACAACTCATTTTGACGCTCCACCGGCTATAAAGATTTGTCTTATATACGTTTACAGTCTAAACTGGTTTTACAGGGGAATTTTGAGAAAGGTTAAACTTGCGTCAGGCCAAATTTCCTCAGAAGTAGCTTTCTAATGTTCAGGTGTTGACTTCTCTTCTTCCGTGAACGTTAAATCACAGTTAGTCACTACAAGGCTCGTCAACTGGTTATTTCCGTCTGTTGGATATACAAGACTGTTTAGTGTAAGAGTTATTATTTAGTTCATTTAGTGATATAATATTTAATGATTATTTACTTTTTATAACAAGAGCATTAAAATATGATTATTTTAAAAGCGATAGTTTGACAAATTTTGTTACATAATTCGGTAAGAGTCGTACGTTGTGTGTGTGTAGTTCAGTTGTTGCAAATTGACGTCACATTACGTGAACCTTCTGTATAATTCTCGTTGCCTTAAGTGAGTATTGTTACATCATAGTGTCTCCTAGTTTATAGAAAGTTTTAGGCCTCAGTTGGGTGATATATATATATGTATAAGCGATCAAGTTAGCGCAAGTTAAGTTGAGTCAGAAAACGTTAAGGTAGTGAAAGTGAAGTTAGGCTGCGTAATTGTTAGTTTAGCTGTAATGAGCGATATTTTAAAGTGGGTTTTTACAGTTTAACAGAGATAAGGCGAATAATTTGTCTTGTCAAAAGGTATTTTAAAGTATCAATTGAGTGGACTTTGACGAAAAGGAGACAACTATTTAAAGTTCTGGATACAAGTGTGGTAACCCACGGGGAAACTTAGGCGAATTTATCGCAGATTGTGGAGTAAGAAACAGTTAGTTAGTTTTGAATTTTGTGCAAAGCTACACGAGGGCTATCTGCTCTAGCTGTCCTTAATTTAGCAGTGCAAGACTAGAGGGAAGGCAGCTAGTCATCACCATCCACCGCCAACTCTTGGGCTACTCTTTTACCAACGAATAGTGGGATTGACCGTAACATTTATAACGCCCCCATGGCTGAAAGGGCGAGCATATTTGGTGGGACGGGGATTCGAACCCGCAGATTGCGAGTCAAGTAGAGAAAAATAATTCATCTTGTCAGTTGTGTTCTAAAGTAACTGAACCAACCTGTGTGGACTTTTGGCGTAAAAGAGAATTATTTAAAACTTTGTATACAAGTGTGGTAACCCACGGGGTAACCTAAATGAACTTATCACTAATTATATTGTGATAACAGAAGAAAAAGGAGAATTATTTAAAGTTTTAGATACAACTGTGATTTCCTATAGTGTAAAGAATTTATGTACATACGTTTGACTTGTTTTGAATATATATTATTTCAAAATAAGTATATTGTTTGTTGTACTTTTATTGTTCGAATTTATCGCCAACAAGTCACAGACATCTACTGTAAAGAATCCGGCCAACGTGAGATATATGCGGCACATTTAGTTTCCTTGGCGATTTCCATAGGCCTGTCAAGATAAAGTCTCGATACAGTAAACGCTGTGTTTGTTAGAGGAAAGGATTGTATACAGCTTGAGGTAAGTGTTACTGCTTTTCTGCATTATTCGCTTTATTAGAATACTGTAAATTCTTCCAAAAGCTCAGAGAACTTGACATTTACAGCCTAACCAGCCAGATAAGAGACCTCTATGGTTCAAGTATAATTTTTCCTAGTTTCGAGCTACTGACCAGAGGAAGACAGCTAGCCAGAAGCACACCTAGTCATAAGGGTTTTGTCTGGCTTCTGAACCAAATAATGGTATTGAATTTCACTCTTATAATCTGCCCAAAGTTAAAATTCTCGAGCCCTGAACCCTTATCCGCAGCTCGACACACTAACCACTTGTTTGCGTCTGTCCCAATAGTAGAGAGAAGCTTTAAACGTTTGCTTTATTTTAATTGCAATTATAATCTATGTTAGCCAATAATATCAGAGAATTGTCGGAGGCAGTAACTAATTGTATTCGTGAATGGATGGTGAAATGTTTACTTATTTTGCATAACTTGTACTTTTCTGCATATTTTCAACTCACCTTTCGTGGGTTAGGTGGTTAGGGTACTCGACTCCAATCTGAGGGTCGCTGGTTCGAATCCCCGTCCCATCAAACATGCTCGCCCTTTCAGCCGTGGGGGCGTTATAATGTGACAGCCACTATTCGTTGGTAAAAGAGTAGCCCAAGAGTTGGCAGTGGGTGGTGATGACTAGCTGCCTTCCCTTTAGTCTTACATTGCTAAATTAGGGACGGCTAGCGCAGATAGCCTCCGTGTAGCTGTGCGCGAAATTCATAATAAACTAAACGTATTTACCCATTGTTGTTATTGTGAGCATGACATTTAATTGGTTCATTCTTTGTATTATATTTTTGTTATTGTTTTTTCCAAGTGTTCGCACTCTCTTTCATTCTTTAAACAGTGAAAGAAAACACTCTCAATGTATCTTATCATTGTGGAAATATTCTACCTTATTATGTGCAGCTTTATTTTGGTTATAGTAATTCGTACTATTAATGTTTTATCAAAAATATAAAGCAAAGAACTACGTGCTCATTTTAATGGCCAGTTTTACTTAAAGCTAGATCATTTAACGAAATGTTTAGCCTTCGTGAACTCAGATGCTACTTTTAAAAACATCTTACACAACACATTAACAATAATCCCACATAGTCTTTATGTTCCCAGCAGAGAACAAGTCGTTATTGCCAGACACAGTTAGTGACAACAAAACGTCCAGATGGCTATCAACATTCCTGGTTTGATTTCTATCATCATTTTTTACATTATCGTCATGGTAGTAGGGATATGGGCTAGCCGAAAAAAGAAGACATCTGGTGGTAGTGTAGAAAGTGAAGAGGTGATGCTAGCAGGAAGAAATATTGGAGTTTTTATAGGAATTTTTACAATGACAGGTAGACGTTTTATATCATTCATTGTTAGTGCAGATTCTGTTTTATTGTTCAAAAGCATTAACTATACTGAAAGTTAAAATAAACTCGATTAATCGTTGTTGTTGCTTAGGAAACGTAATAAATTAGTTTCACTTCATTACTAGATTAAACAAAAGTATATTAATTTTCTAATGTGACCTTCACTGGAGGTTCTAAAGAGGCTGAGTAAATTATATTAAAACGATTTTGAAGCCTCATCACGTCGTTGTAGTCTACGTCTCCACGTCTAATCATGCTCTATTTGACGACTGTATATCTTGGCAATATCCCTGCAGCGTAGCTTCTATTGCAAAACGCTTCCTCATAAGACTGTCATGTCCAAAACACACCACTCCTCCCAACAAGTTTTCTATACTTCAGTGTCAGATTCAAAAATCTGATCATACAAAAGTCTATAGGCCCTGCATCTGGCAAGTTGACTAGTATGTGTTCGTATTAAATAGCATGGATACCTTTTCATTATCCAGCTGCTTGAGATAAAGAATGATTGACCAGGAAGTATGACTGGAAGTCTTATTTTGGTGAATGCATACCCTGTTGTACGAAGTTTCTTCTTGATTATGTTGCGTACTGTTACCACTAACCTCTGTTTTCGTAGATTCTCACCTGTTACAAGACCCTGCACTTTGGTAACCAGGCTGGGGTACGACTTGTTGCAAGTCTCTTTCTGGATGGTTCTAGTGCATCAAGTTGATCCATATTACTTTGTTTTCCAATGCATTTGTTCAGGGTTCAGTGAACTGAAAGGGTAAAAAATGGGCGCAACGGTCGGTTATAACAGTAACGAAGTTCAAAACAATTAAACTTGAAGGTAGTTACATAAGTCCATTCACTGTGCAAGACGTGTAACTACAAATGTTCTATTTAACGAGCTCGGGGAATTTAACCTTACAATGGGGAACGAAACAATGATTTTTCGAGCAGTTAAACGAATACATAGCTGATTCCTAGGAGAACGAGGCTTTGAAATTCTTTAGCGACAGTCAGAGTCGTCGTACCAAGACTACATACAGAAGAGCAAACGACAGCATTGAACGACTAAAGTCAGGAATGGCACGATTTTGTTCTAGAATGACTCCGCATATGATATGTCTAAATTAGCTTTTAACTCGCACTTCAATTATTAACGTGGGGTTTAAGGTCGGATGATGAAACAAGTTTTCTCACAAGCCCTATAATCATTACACTCTGGCCTAAAATAGCTTATTTTCCCTGTAATTAACAATTCCTTATTCTCGCCGATGTTGTCCCACTCGGGAAGGGGGGGGGGGGACTGAGTAGGTGTGTGTATAAAATGCTTTTAATTTCTGCTTTAAGCATTCTGGTTCAAAATACGGTGGTATTTTACTTTATCTGGTTAATCGTTGGTTTCCCTTTAACATTCTTCATAGATTGTATCGGATGATCCCCCCTAGTTATAACTAAAGTAAATATTCCTAAAATAGGAAAATATTGTGATATACCTCCCAAAAGTAAAATGTAAAGATTCTTTTATCCGTGGCGGTTAACAATGTTTATTTAACATAAAGCCATTTGTCACTTGTGAAAAATTGTTTGTTTAGAACAAGTGAAATATGCGCTTTTAGCCCAATGATTTCTGTAGCAATAAACCAGTCTTTTTTAGTTTGTCGTTGTTAAGCACAAAGATTGTTTTACACATCATGGGTATCGAAACCCGATTTTTAGCGTTTTAAGCCTGCATACTTACCACTGAGGACATAAATACATGTTATTAACTAGAAGAGTTTACCATCTGTAGCCTGTTTAGCATTCAAAGGATTATAACATTATCAACTCTCATTACAAAGTGGTTGAAGATTTTTAAGGACAAAATGGCGACTTTGTAATATGATTATTATCCAGTTGAATCCTCAGTTAGTCACAATTTAGAAAGAATAGAGAATTACAACCTTGAAAGATGACACACACACACACACAGATGTATCTGACCTAACATACATATGTTCTTTGCTTACGCTAAGTTGTGTAATAGTGGTGATTTAAACCGAATAGTAGGTGTTGTTTAATTTAATCAATATGTGTAATTGCACTCAGTTGTGTAATAATGGTAGTTTAAAACGAATAGTAGGTATTGTTTAATTTAATCAATATGTGTGATTGCACTCAGTTGTGTAATAATGGTAGTTTAAACCGAATAGTAGGTGTTGTTTAATTTAATCAATATGTGTAATTGCACTCAGTTGTGTAATAATGGTAGTTTAAACCGAATAGTAGGTGTTGTTTAATTTAATCAATATGTGTAATTGCACTCAGTTGTGTAATAATGGTAGTTTAAACCGAATAGTAGGTGTTGTTTAATTTAATCAATATGTGTGATTGCGCTCAGTTGTGTAATAATGGTAGTTTAAACCGAATAGTAGGTATTGTTTAATTCGTCAATATGCGGAAATATTTTATTTCCATCTTTAAAGCATTTAAGTTGCAGTATTATTATTATTAAAACAGTTAAGTTTTTGAGGCGAATCAACCTTCATTTATAAAGTGATGAAGCATTGGAACCTGAATTTAACTGTTTGTGTAAGAAATTAGATTCTCAATTTGTCCACGCTTGTATGTGTCAGAAAATATGAAACTTTCGCAAAAAAACGTCCTTGCTGATTGTTCACTGTGAATATACAATGCTTTTTTTTTTACAATCATTCGAAACTAATCAGGTTATAGCTTTAAACTGAATTATATGTTGCAAGCTAGACTTGTTATGAATATATCAAAGCATTGAAATGTTTTACATCCTATGTATTTTCTTTATAAATTTAGTGTTTTGGTTTGTCGTAAAATATGATAAGATTTGTAGTTAGAATTCTTATGAAATTAATAACTAGCTTGTATCAAAGATGATTTAAGCTTGGAACCTGAAAAACAACTTATCTATTTAAAGATGATTCAAACGAATTCGTTAAATCAAGTTTTCGAAGTGAAAGTAAGTGTTGGTTGGCTTTTCTTCCTGTATCCTAAATCCATATTTTCTTAGTATTATAGTTGTTTCTTTGTACTTACTCTTTCAATCTCCTTGGGTGACAGTGCGTAAAACACGTGCATGTACTACTTGACCGCGTTACCTCCGTTTTCTTAAAAATATAGTTACCCAAGGCTAGTATTTGTTCATAAAATAATTAGTATTGAAACTCCCTAAATTGTTTTCCACGGAAATTACTAAAAAAATCCATAGAAGTTTTGAAATCATGAGGTTTTCGAAGATTGACTTGGTTGGTATGACAAAAAAATCGATAAAAATCAAAATACAATATTCACAGCGGTTTTTACCTTCAACGTTCGTGGAATTTCTTCAGAACTACGGAATGTGTTTTTTTATGAAAATATCTGTAGTTGGACCCCTAGGCTAAGTTAGCACTTAGCTAACTGTCGGAAATGTCACTTTTCTTTTTTCTTTGGTTAGTTTTATAATCTTGGACACTGGGGTGTGATTTTTAAATGAGGATAAGTGATATAAAAACTGAATTATTGTTAGCCCCATATTCCCCAATCATCCACCTCTTGAGCGTGAATATGTTCTGTGGAAAAGTTCCGACTTTCAGTGCATAGATGGCAAGTGAGTCTTTTGTTTGGTTAGACTGTTTTATCACGCGGGGAAGGGGGTTGCACAATTGTAAATAATCGGTTCTTGCTCTTAAGTGAATACTCTTTCGATCTTTCTCTCTCTCCATCCAGGTATAATATTTGACTTGATGAGAATAATCCCCCCCCCCGTGAGAGATGTATTATTTGGGGAAGCTAAACCCCTTGTTTCGGTGGTAGGTGCTGCAGCCTCTGGTCAAAAATAGGTACTGCGACAGAGAGCATGTTTATCTTTGCCATACACGCAAAAGGATTCAAATGTGGAATCCTGTAGTCCATGAATCACCTTTGTCATTAATTATTCCAAATGAAATATTCCCTCACCCAACAATTTATACAAGTAAATTACCCTTTTAAATGGACTTTCCCCGTCTAAGGAATCGTTTAGACACGGGGGGGGGGGATTAGTACAAACTTATTTGAGATAGTCAATGACATATCTAATCTTAACCCGAAGTAAAAGGCTTAACACAACTTTATGATCATTTTCTGACATTCGGTTAACATTAGTGTCAAGATACGTGTAGAACATCACGGCTGGGGTATGACTTGTTGTAAGTCTCTTTCTGGATGGTTTTAGTGCATCAAATTGATCCATGTTCCTTTGTTTTCCAATACAATGAAGCACAAAGGATATCCCCGTCTTGAAAATCCTAAATCAATATTTTGTGTGGGAAAGGATTTCGCGTGACATATGCTGATCTGCATGTTCAAAATAGTTTTAATATCAAGTACTCAACCTTCTGTAGAACATGACATGACTTCACCTTCAAAAACTACAAATAACATTTTTTGATTAATGTTTGCATGAAAGTGAAGTATGATCTATTTCCTATCGCGACCTTATATTATAGGATCGTTTGTAGGGAATTCTATAACCTATGTTTTGTTTGAACTCTACTAACAGTACTGTATGGAGTCTTTCGTTCGTTAACTTTAATCACACTGACCGATATTTAATATTGATTCGACAATCAACATCACTGGATTTGGATATTGAGGGTTTTACTTATAATCACCAAACTTGCCTACAAAATCCTGTTATGAAAATAATTCTGACATGATTAAGGACTAAGTTAGATTTATTTGTTAATGAAGAATAATCTTTTTTTTCCTGCAAATAAGACGTACATTATACCTTTGTATTGAACTATATTTTTATTATCCGTTAATTCAGCCACCTGGGTGGGAGGAGGTTATATTAATGGAACAGCAGAAGCCATCTACAGTAACGGTCTTGCTTGGTGTCAGGCTCCGTTGGGCTATTCACTTAGTATTGCACTTGGTAAGTCTGAAGGTGTTGATAAAAGCTGCCATCAGTGTTTATGTACATTGACAAGTTTATGTTAAATTATGTTTCATAGAGTCTAGATACTTATTCTTAAATAATTGAGCTGGTTTATGATATAACGTACAGGGATACAATTTTCCTGGTGGCACAGAAGTACACTGGTTATAATGCTAGAATTTTGGGTTTCTTCGCGCTAAAACAAAAAGCAAGGGCAAACAGATTGGATGAAAAAAGGAATGTCTCCTGTTAATAAAAATTGGTCATCACTAGCTCTAACGTGGATACAAATACAATTATATCATTTCTTATTCAATTACGAACGATTTTTATTTTGTTATATTAATTTCACGAGTAATCGTTAATTTGGTAAATGTCTATATTGTTTTATTTATATGATCAGGTTTTGTAAGGTAATCCTCTTTATCAGGGTCATATTGTGGCAGATGATTGTTTGTTTGTAGTTAAGCACAAAGCTACACAATGGGCTATCTGTGCTCTGCCCACCACGGGTATCGAAACCCGGTTTCTAGTGTCGTAAGTCAGCAGAATTACCACTGTGCCACTGGGGGCTTGACAGATGAAGAGGGAAGCCTTTGCTAAATTACGCACGCTGTTCATGCAAAAGTAAGTATTTAATTTTTAAAGGAAACCGTTTTTTTTCTATCTCTTGAACATATAAATAATTTCTAGTTTTAAAGTTATACATTTCCGAGAATAACGTATCGTAAGTTTTACTTTGATAACAAAAAAGACACTAATACTTTGAACAAATATAGCAAAAGGTGTGACTTTACCTTTTAGTTTAGAAAGGTAAAATGTTTTCACACTTACACGCATTCAGCACACGTATTTAAGTTTAGTGTGCAGATATTCCAGCTATGAAATGTCGCGATCTTATACTTGAGGTAGTTACACATTGGTGTTGCTGAAGAGTTAGTTAGGCTTGTTTTAGTATGTTCTGTTGTGAATTGGTCTTATACTTGAGGTAGTTACACATTGGTGTAGCTGAAGAGTTAGTTAGGCTTGTTTTAATATGTTCTCCAGTGAATTGGTCTTATACTTGAGTTAGTTACACATTGGTGTAGCTGAAGAGTTAGTTAGGCTTGTTTTAATATGTTCTCTAGTGAATTGGTCTTATACTTGAGTTAGTTACACATTGGTGTAGCTGAAGAGTTAGTTAGGCTTGTTTTAATATGTTCTCTAATGAATTGGTTCTCAAACTTAACCTAACTGCGATAATCTTCTAACAACAAAAATTACTACACAGTCCTACAACCACGTGTTTTCGCAGGATTGTTAGTGAAAAATAGAACATACATTACACGGCAGAGCCAACAATGCTAATAGTTGAGCAATCACAAGACAATTTTTATGGCCAGCATTAAAAGAATAAAAGTTACTTTATGGGTGAGCGGAAATCCTTGAAACGAGGATCTGCGCTTCTGAGGTACAGGCGAAGGCCATCTTCAACGGTGCGCCAAATCCTATACTTGATGTTTAGTAAAATCAATGCAGAAAAAACCTGCTTCACAATGGTAGGCACATGGAAAAAAACTTTGGACATCTTTTCTTACGACGTTTTTTTAAACTCACTTCGGCCTTTAGACAACTCGTGTGAATGCGCTTATTTAGTGCTTTCGTCGCAAAGCAAGAAAGAAAAAGAAAAAAAAACGTTGCTACGTAACTTTTTCAAACAATCCAGGTAGTTAGAGTGAGCGACCTCTTAAGAATAAAATCAACGATCGAGAATAATAATAATAACTTAAAATATATTAATGTAGTTGTTTATGAAACGAAAAAAAAAAAGACAATAGAATGAAGTTGCTTATTATACCAAAAGTGATGCCCATTTTACAATTGCGAAAATACTCCCGACCCCTTGTAAGGCACTTGTGACCCACAGTTTGCGAACTGCTGCAACCTTGTGGCATCAACCATGTTGAGATTTAGGAGTACCTTGAGGTTGTGTTCTCCCTATTTTTACTTGTGGGATGACCAACGGACATGGGTGATAGTTGCACTCTGAAAAAGTTAACCCTATTGTAATATTTATATAGTGGTTGGTTCTCTCTTTTATTCACGGTTGCTTCAGATCGTTTTAAGATTTTTATCTCAACAGCTAACGAGTAGTGGTGCCTATTGTTCTCTACACACACCGATTGAATTGTTTATTTGTTTCTCGTGTGTCAGATAAATAAACGTTATTTTTGTGTCACTACGAACTTATGCCCCCACCCCAAGTAGCTCCGCGGTAAGTCTTAAAAGATTATAACGTTAAAAACCGGATTACGAAACCCATGATGGGCACAGCACAGATAGTCCATTGTATGGCTTTGTGCTTAATAATAACTAAAGAAGAGCGAAATTATGAGACCAGTAACGTTAGGAACTTAGGCTAATACTGCAATACTTATACTGCCAAACTTCGGGTTGCGGTTATTATTATTTCCTGAAGGTTATCAGTATACCTGAGAATACCATATAACAAAGGTAGCATCACTGCTATTGTGTAATTTATAACAGTTAGATAAATATATACGTTCAAATCGTTTACAACATGTCGTGATTCTGTTATAAGTAATAAGATAATCAAATATTATTTTTTATCATATTCATTTCTTTTATTTTTATATCAATTACTATTATTACTCTAAGGTTTAATTATATATCTGTATATATTTCTCTCTCTAAACAGTCCCTGGTGGCTCAGCGGAAGGTATGAAGGCTTATAACACTAAAAAACCAGGTTCCGATATCCGTTGTGCACACACACTTATATAGCCCAGTGTGTAGGTTTGTGCTAAACAACAAACAAGCAAATCTTTGTTTCAAATTAAATAGTCAATTCTAACTATAGTTATCTATCTACTTATATAGTTATCATATTGATAACAGTTTATATGATAGTATTTCTAATAATCATTTATTTATCTATTACTATATTAAGACTGAAACATCAACAATGTGGTCAAAACTATTTTAAACGTCAATCATCAGTAGGTGGTTCGTAGTAACACACTGTCTGACTCAACTGACAAAACAAAGTCACAAAACAGTACAAATTCGAAACTGCAATGATTTCAGTAGACCTTGACTATTACACTTATACCAAAATGTTTATATGTGAGACCTGAAAATGATATTTTTAATTAACTTACAATAACTTTATGATACTCGAATGCTTGTCCCTGAGGTATAAAATTTCATGTGTATTGAATATCGTTCCTGTTTCAGGGGGTTTAATGTTTGCTAAGAAGATGCGATCACGGGGTTACATAACTATGCTAGACCCTTTGCAGGAGAATTTCGGATCAAGGATGGGGGGACTGCTTTTTCTTCCTGCTCTCTGTGGGGAGATCTTCTGGTCTGCAGCTATTCTTGCAGCGCTTGGTAAGTAGGCACGAAAATATTGTCATATTTTTGTACCTTTGGGTTTTATAGAAACATTCTAAATATTAAAATAAACAATTTTGTGTTTAAAATCACTCTAAACCAATATCACTAAATCAAATAATAATAAAGTGAGTAAATATTTAATATGTTGTGACAAAAGTTACATCTGATTGTAATTCCAAAAATCAATATGTCATTAGTTATTTGCCGTTTCACGTGCCATGTTGCGAGAATATATATAGCCGTTTCGGCGCAGTTTGGAAAGAAATTAATTTAATATTATTTCGATTTGGTAATTTGTTTATCTTCTGTTTTGAAGTTCGCTTCAATTTTGATTGTTGTTTCCATATAATTGAGCGACAGTGCTACCTGCTGGTGGTTTTTGATTAAAGTACAGGTTGCCATTGCAAACCGGAGGAACACGTAGACAAGTGACAGCTCTTTTGGTGTATGGAGGTCTACAGCGTTTAGTCCATGCAGCGGCAAGCCTGAAAAAGGCCGTGGGTAGTTAATTATACCTCGTAATGGACATTATTTGCACAACATTGCCATTAGAAATTACCAAATCGGTACTAATGGACTCGATATGGGGTGATTAATTATCAGTGATCAACATGTAAAGAACAGACTTTAATTCTTTCAGGCTCTAGTCAATTCGAAATTTGTGGGTCTCTTGTTTCACGGGTCGTAACTAATGAAACTGACTAATTAACTGTAATCAGAAAGTAAATGCTGCCCTTAAACCGTTCTCATATTTTAGCTCTGTTGTCCAGATGGTTAAAGAATATTTCAGTCATAAACGCTTGATGTAGTATAATATTCAAAAGGCTTTGGTTAGTGGCCCCTGTGACTTGATTGATTCAAACATTGTGTAATTCAACCTAACGTCTTGTCATACTTTAGATAGTACACTTAGTATTGCTTTATTATCTTGCTTTATTCCAGGAGCTACTATTAGTGTGATCATTGACCTCGAACCGAATACGTCCATCATTGTATCATGCTGCATTGCTGTTTTTTACACACTCATTGGTGGCTTATACTCGGTTGCTTACACTGATGTTATCCAGTTGTTCTGCATCTTCATAGGTCTGGTGAGAAAACAAGTTCATTATACGAACCCAGTTTAACAGACTGGTATACTAACAATTTCCAGTGTTTTCACCTCTGATCTTTTAAATATTAACAACGTAGAAGTCTAATAATTTAAGACACGCTCTATTTAATAATATTAGAATTAATGATACTTTGTTATAAGGCGCCATTTCAAGGTTTGACCTTGGTATTGTTGAGACACAACAGTGTAATAGACTTGTATTTCATTAGGTACCCCTACATGACACAGTTAAATATTTAACAATTTATCAGAGTACTATTTCAAGAGGCCTAGTCTACGTGATATTGTTAAGCGTTACGATGTAGTAGATTTCTTCTGCGCGATGTTTTAAAATGGTACAGTGTAAATTTATAAATATAAATTTTATCCTTAAAAAGTATTTTTCATACCAATTTTATGAAGACATTATTAGCACAAGGTCCTTTCTTTGAAATCACTACAAACCTTCGGTGAAAAAAAAAGGTTAAAATATCATGATGGTATCGCAATAAATTTTATCTAATGTTCCTGTATTAATCAATGTAGTGTAACAAATTATACTCTTAATGATACTTAATTAACTGATCGTGAATTGTTTGACCAAAAGTTTAGTGACAGAGGAAAAATATCGTTAATTTGTCCTGCATCAATTTTATTTGAAGAATTGGTTATAAAATCGGTTATTTCTTAATATAATATATCAAAATAAGCTAATGTGGGCAGTGACACTTGTTAAAGGTTTTTGTTGTAGTTCATTCTACAAATAATACTAAACAGACTTCAAGACATTTTGCAGAATAATTGCAGCAACTTCTAGCAAGATTTCTTCTTTTTTATTACGGATAATCTGTAGTATTGTTACTTATCTTTCGAGAAACTTCAGCGATACAAGTCCCTTCTTGATTTAAACTAGTTTATTCTTTCTCGATACAACTTTTTGTAATACACAGAATTTCCACAGTCACTTTAAACTTAACCTTTATAATACACGTTATAAATCACAGTGATTCACACACTTTACTTACGATGCCTACTGTTCGCTTGACTCAATTACCTATCTCTTCAATTTCCCTGATTTTTCTCACCAGGCTTATATACTAAAAAGAGGGTGTCTCGAATGCACTCGAACCTTTATGATCCTTCGAGAAATTTCACGCATGCTACTAGCGCCAAACGCACCAGCAGAGTCACGTGACTTCCGCTGTCGTAACACTATGTTGGCTCCATTTCCTTAACTTTTTTATAACTATCAGGTCTGTATACATATTGTTGTAATCTGTATTTTCAATGATTTGATTTAGATGTTAGCAGAAGGGCGCATGACGTTAATATCGAAAAGTTTATAAAAGTAGGCTTGAATACCTATAATGTTCTAGATAACGTCACGAAAATCTAGTAACTTCGATAAATATCTAGAAGTGAGACATTAGATATAAATACTAGTAAATTGATCAGTTAGTAAGCTAGCAGTGAGTCAGTCATTTTTGTTTTCATTGGTAGAATAGTGAATTATTTAGTTTCAGTGTAGTTTTTAGATCGCGTATATTCAGTTACTCGATTAACTAGCCGTGAAATTGTATCAGTTAACTTATTTTTTACGTCATTCGTATTACGGTTAGTGAGATATTTCCGTTTGAACGTCATTTGTAAACTTAGGCTTACAAATTTGAACAGTGTTCAAGTGAAGTGTAACAAAGTTAAGGAAGAAGTAAACTAATTTGTTGTCGTTAGGTGGACTGGACCTAAAATTATTTTCCCTCAGTAATTAAAAAAAAAACACGACCAACGAAAGAACAGTGTTACGATATTTTTTATGTCCCTATTTGTCGCAGATTTGAAATGTGGAATTCTACATTTCTTTATTAAATACTGCATTTGATTTTTGACCCACAGTGGCTATGCATCCCCTTCAGTTTCTTACACGAAGCTGTTGGTGACATGTCTTTGAACTCGACCGATTGGCTGGGGTCGGTGAAGCTGTCAGATGCTGGTATATACATCGATTACTGGTTCTTATTAATTCTAGGAGGAATTCCTTGGCAGGTAGGCGCAAAAAGTAGCACATCTTACAGCGAATAGTGTGTTTGATTATGATACTTTTTTCATATCTGTTTAATGAATAGTAAGCGATCTTGGAAGTGAAGAAACAAAGTTGTTGCTAATTTAAAGACAAGCAGTTGTATTATGTTATATCAAATATTCTTCATTATGAAATTAATCATGCGTAAAAGTTACTATAATTTTTCATGTTTCAGAGCTTTGTTTAAACCTTTTGATCCTTGTGACTTTTAAAATTTCCTGTAATATTGTAATTCAAGCTGAAAATCCTGTTCCCTTATTATATGAACGTATTGAACTCTAAGAAAGCATAAATCTAATGCAAATGTTTATTTTACGTCTTTTATTTTTAAATTTAGTTCTAAAATATAAAAAGCTTTATTGAGTATAAAACATGAAATGTATTCATTCGTGAAGTCCGGATCTAAAATATGTTTTTGTCACAAGAAACTAATTGTATTTCTATAGGTGTATTTTCAGCGGGTTCTTTCATCTAAGAGTGTCTTCAAGGCTCAGATGCTTTCTTACGTAGCTTCTGTTGGTTGCCTACTGATGGCCGTCCCAGCTGTTATGATTGGAGTCGTTGCTAAAGCAACAGGTAAATATTTTCATCTCTGCATTTTTGAATTTTTTTTAGCATTGTGATTTTATCAAGTATCTCAAAGTAAGTAGAAAAAATGTAAATTCTCCTTTTTCGGAGAGTTTGAATTTTTATCAACTTTTCAACATTTTCAGTTTAACAAAAGGAATAGATAAAATTTCACCATTAGCAAGCTATTCATTTGTGCCTGTCATTATGAAGTAACTCCTCTATAACCGTTTGTAATGCTTTAAAAATATCACACTATACGTGCCAACAATCTCTCGTAACCTGTATTGAATTTCCACTTTATTAATTACAATTTTCAGTTAATATATACATTTGATATTAAGATAAGTATGTTTATTTTTATTCTCGGAGACGACTGTGCCTAAACATAGAAGATCTCTGACCTGGTCGAGTAAAACAGTTTCTCGTAAGTTGCCATCCAGGTTTAAAACATCAAACAAATCAGTGGAGTAAGAACAGGGGACTCCTAGGGGTCCTGACCCTTGATGATATTTGAAAGAGGGACAGCATATCATTTACCTTCTCCAAATATCTAACAAAAATCAGTGAGAAATAGATAGAGAAAAAAATGCCGATTGCGGTGTACCTCTAGAAATTGTTTTTAAATATTTCCTGTATAAGAGATTACCGCCACTTTGTAGTTTTCTGGATTGAAGATGAACGTGATACAAGATAAATGAAAAAAAGAAAAAGAAACCACTACTTTGTAATTTTTTTTAGCTTGGCGTGGCCTAATGATTAGCATACCAGGCTACGAAATGAAAAGTTCAAGATTCGAGCCGCGATATAGCTTTGAACTCGTTTCACATTTTCAGCTACGTGGCGTTAAACTGTATCAGCCAATCTTATTTATTTGTTAGGAGTATCTACATAAGTAATTAGTTGCCCTCCTTTAGGCTCCCTATGGTCAGCAGCAGTAGTTTTATCAATTATCTATAACTAGAACGAAAATGTCTATTAACGAATATAAATCATATCAGTTAATAATAAATATAACTAAAACTAAAAAACATGTAAAACGAGAACGTAATAGTAAAAAAAAAATAACGAAAATTATTTATTTATCTGACATACATCCACGTTGGGGGACAAGCGGTCTGACTTAAATCCCGCCCCCAATAGCACAGCGGTATGTCTGCGGACTTACAACGCTAGAAACCGGGTTTCGATACCCGTGGTGGGCAGAGCACAGATAGCCCATTGTGTAGCTTTGTGCATAACTACAAACAAGCTGACTTAAATCCCTGTGTATGTGAAAAGAATGCGTCAGAAATGCAGTAAATAGTCATTTAGCTAAACCGAAAGTATGTTTATTGAAGACTTCAGCAAATAGTCCTACGACAGAACAGTGTTTTTTTTTCTTACACCCATATACCACTGTATTGCCTAGTTTTCATTGTTAAGGTCGTCGCCACTCGGCTAACTATAATGATAATAATAACTAAAATGATATGTAATTAACTTCAATATTAATTATAACTAAAATTAAACTAATAACTATAGGTAACTAAAACTAAAGGTACGAATTCTTAACTATAAGTATAACTACAACTAAAAAACCACTGATCAGCAGTTTTGAATTAGGGATGATTGGATTTCAACATTGAAGGTTTCTGTTCTAGTCATTTAGCTCGCGTGTCGCTTAAAGTGCCATTCAGATTGAAAATACCAAACACGTGTATAATAAAAAATTACGAAAACAATACATATTTGTTTCTTATATTCTAAAAGCGTGTAAATATCATACATATAAATGCCAGTGCTTGTTTGTGTGTCTGAAACACAACTAAATATCTTTACAAACCAATAGATGGAGGCACGATACGTATAACAGTTGTATTTTTAATATAGTAAAAAAATGTATAAGTATTTTGTATGAAATGTTATATCTTTATGGACTTTCACCCTCCCATTCTTTCCCTTTGGCATCACAATTAATAAATCACCTTTGACCATGTAGGAATATTTCTTCCATAACCAGTTTTTCAGATGGTCAACTCTATACAGCTTTATCAAAACGCAGATTTGAGCATAATCTCAAAATATTCGTAAGTCCAAATTGTAATTAAGCATCATTTACAGGTGATAATAAAGTATTCACAAAAATGATGTTTTTTGTGAAATACTATAATGTGATGCTCAAAAAATCCAACGAATTTATAACATTATAAGATCATTCAAACTATATTTTTTTTAGAACTAGAGAAAATAATAGAATGAAACGAACTATCAAGTCAGTAAAAAAAAAGATTGATTGTATCGTGATATAAAATGCTGACTCAGCCACTTCGCTGTGGTGTTTGTTTACTGACTCTGACGAGTCATAAAATGGTCTTAAATTTCAATATATTTCACCTTTTTCAATAAAACAAACGCATTTTCAGATCTTAAGCTATAAGATGTTATTAATTATGCCCTGGTGTGTTTTGGACTGACACACTTTATTTGGTCTAAAAAGCCTCATTTTATTTTCAACTTAGGCGTTCTACACCAATAAAATAGCATTCATTTCTAGGCCTTAAAATTTATGATAATATTAGTTTTTTTTCCTTTCACCAAAGATAAAGTTGAAAATTTAACCTGCAACTTTAGCTTAATCTATTATTTCGTAATATTATAAGAGAAAAAAAAACCAAATGTTTTGTAAACGCCTACACTCCAGCAGTGTTCTTTTATTTTTCAAATTGACGATGAGTTTTTACGCAAACATATACACATACACGATTAGAATACACACATACACAATTAGAATATTGTTACGTCTCCGTTCGTTCGTTAATTAATTTTCCGTAAATTCATTCCAACGAAACTTTAGCGACACAAGTCCTTTC